GGGTTCTCTCCCCTGTCAGCTCCTGCACACTGCTTTGCATGGCTCTGCATAGCAGAGCCATGCACAACAGTGTGCTTACAGTTGAAAGCATAGACACAGCACACAGCTAACCCTTTGATCGCCCCACATGTTAACCCCTTCCTGCCCAGTGCCATTAGTACAGTGTCAGTGCTTTTTATTAGCACTGATCACTGTATTGGTGTCAGAATGCCCGCTGCAGTCCCGCTGTAAGTCTCTGATCGCTGCCATTACTAGTAAAAATGAAAAAAAATTTTAAAATCCCAGTATATATATAGCCATTTGTAAACACTATAACTTTCACGTAAACCAACTACTGTAATTTACACATATTGGGATTTTTTTTTTTTTTTTTAGCAAAGACACGTAGTAGAATACATTTTGGTCTAAATTTATGCCGAAATTAGATTTTTTAAATTTTTTTTACTGGACATGTTTAATAGCAAAAAGTCAAAAATATTGTTTTTTTTTCTCAATTGTTGGTCTTTTTTTTATTACTATTATAGCGCAGAAAATAAAAAACGCACAGGCGATCAAATACCACAGAAAGCTCTATTCGTGGGACAAGTACGTACTTTTAATTTGGGTGCAGCGTTGCATTGACCACACAATTGTCAGTTAAAGTAATGCGTCGCCGTAATGCAAAAAATGGCCCTGGTCAGGAGGGGGGTAAATCCTCTGGCGGAAAGTGATTAATGAATTAAAGAAAAAAAAAAACAAAAAACCCCACAACACAATATATACCCCAATTTGTATAATATGGAAGATGATGTTACAGCGAGAAAATGGATACCTTACATTTTTGAGTTGATCTCTATTGCCCCAAAGGGTTGGAAATCTGGACATCAAATTGCTTGCTTTCAAAAATGGCTATTGACAGTAGACCAACACTGATGCTTATTAGACTAAAATACTTAGTAGTGTTAAGAGTTGGATGTACATTTTTAGATATTTTGTATACGTATGGGCAGTGCAGTGGCCAAGTGGTTAGCACTTTTGCCTAGTAGCACTGGAGTAGCACTACATTTATAAAGATATATATCATTTTTTTAAACTTTTTGTAATATATTAATGTAAATAAAAATGTTTTTGTGTGTGTATATATATACACACACACACATATACACATATATCTATATATGTGCTAATTTTATTATGATATCTGAACACATTATTATATGGGGCTTCCCTAGATGATTTGTTTGCTTGCTGCAGTCATTTGGGCAGTGAAGGGTTAATTAGTGGGTGGAGTGGACTCCCAGTATATTAAGAGAGCAATGTCCCCTGACCAGCATTCCCTGAGGCTGCATTCACACTTCAGTGTTTTGTAGCTGGAAGCTCCAAAATAGCTCAAACTTTAAAAAAAAATCAATTGTTCTCTATGGTGCCTGTTCACACTTGATTGTGGGAACAGGCACCATAGAGAACAATTGATTTTTTAAGTTTGAGCTTTTTTGGAGCTTGGAGCTTCAAGCTACAAAATGCTCAAGTGTGAATGCAGCCTCAGAAAGATGGATGGTATCCAATAACATGTTGGAATAGGCAGGAGGTGACATCACCGAAACAGAAAACAGGGGCATTGCTGTAGAATGTGTACTGTCATCAGAGTTTTTCTTTACTATTGCATGCATGCTTGTTGCCTGTGGCCAGGGCCCAGTCTGTTTGTGGCAAGATTAGTGTTCCTCTCTCTTTCTCTGCTCCTATTGTACCTGTTATTAGGCACACATTAGGCTATACATGTTATTTATTACTTTATGTTCCTTTTTACACAAAGGATTTGTGTGTGAGCACTGCAGGAATTGTTTATAGTGTTAGATACCTAACCTGTCACGCTTTAAAATTGTGCACACTTGTGGAATGGCGACAAACTACGGTACTTAAAAATCTCAGGCGCTGCTTTAAAACATTTTGTAGGTTACCTGTTTAGAGTTGCAGAGGAGGTCTAGTGCTAGAATTTCTGCTCTTGCTCTAACAATCGCGGCAATACCTCACGTTTGCTGCGAATACCATTTAGAAATCCGTACATAACTTACATATGCAAGCACACGAAGGAATAGGGGGCACTTTAAAAAAAATTTCTTATACATTTTATTTTTTATTTGTACTCTGTTTTTTTTTATTTTTTTTTTAAATCATTTTTATTCCCATTACAAGGAATGTAAACATCCCTTGTAATAGAAATAAGGATGACAGGTCCTCTTTGAGATATCTGGTCAGAAAGACCCCAGATCTCTCCTTTACCTTTTAAAAGCAAAAGTTCAAAATACTTTTTTTTTTTTTTTGATCTTTCGCTTTAAAAACTAAAAAAAATTGTTTACATCTGCCCCAGACCGGAAGTGATGTCACGTTGCACCAATCCTCCAAGGCCATCAAGGCGATCAAAGATTATCGAGTCTGTCATTGCCTCTGTGACCAGCTGGCCACACATCATTTCTCGGATGTGCTTGTTGAAACTGTAAGCCTGAGTAACTCTTGTGTGTGGTGGGAGGAGGCGTCCCTGAAGCAATCAAGCGGCTAATGAGCCACTTGGACCGCTTTAATGAGAGAGCCGGCTACTGGCTGGAAAAAAAAAAAAAAAAAATACTGGGTTATGGTTGATATTTTCAGCCATAACCGGGTAAACCACTTGCAACCTGAATCGTATATGTATTTATTTTGGTCGGCAAGTGGCAATGACAACAAATAATTTGAAAATTGTTCTGGTCCTTATGTGGTGAACAGGCATGAGAAGGGAAGTGGTACGACTCAAGCTCAAAAGTAGATTGACTCAAACCCAGAATTTTTTCATTTCAATCCTGGACATAATTCTACCTTGTACCTCATGGACACCAGGACGTTTTTACCTCCCCTGGATGCCTTTGGTTTTGTTTTTTTTTTTTGCAGCAAAACATTTCTCTCTTGAATGTGCTGGCACTGAGATTTTCTTGCCTCTGAACGCTTGTAAACAAGGCCACATAGCCTAACATAGCTATGCAGGTCGTGGTACCGCCGACTGGAGTAGCCCTGTCCACTGAAGACCCGTTTGCCCATAAGAATTATGATCATCGTTATAGGTGATGTCAGGGTACGGGTGTGGCCCTTGTACCCTGCTCTGTGGGTCAAACTGACTGGCTTGGTAAGTGGTGATTTAGTTCCCCTCCCCCATGCATTATTCTTTGGTATGGAAACTAGAGGGGTAGACTTCTTTCCCTATCTGCGCTATGAAGATCTTGAATATTCCGTCTAGATTCATTTGTGATTAGACCTTGTACTGTATGGTGTACAGCCTTACCCTTAAAAGTTGACACTTCTGAAGAGGTTTGCTCAGCAATATTCTATGGGAACAAAACTTGCTTAAAAAAAACGGTCTTTTCCTGTACGTGTCCCAGCCATTTCCAGTTTGAACAGGACAACAATGGTTCCTCTGGAAGACATTCCTATTTTTAAGGACCCTATGAACAATAGGCTGGAGGCCCTTCTTGAGGCCTTGTTTTCCCTGGCTGGTCCAGGTTTGCAACCAGCTGTGACATTTATGACAGTCTGTCAGACTCTTGCGGTCTGCACAAAACAGTTGAGCAGTGATTCTGAATCTGTTCAGACAGATCCTGCTGCTCTCATAAAAGTGGAGCTCCTGCCTGTAGCTTTACAGTACACTATTGCATGCATGGCCTGGATAATACCCCTCACCAAATTTCTAGAATGAGTCTGCTTTCTGTTTATATCTTAAGGATTCCATTTCTAAAGTGCTGGTTGGCAGCGTTCTCTGGCAAGAAGAGGCTTGAGAAGGATGCTGCTTTCCGAAAGGGATTGCTTCCTTGGTATATCACTTACTTATATCAAGGAATCTGCTGTGGTGACATGCTTAAGAAAGAGTTCCTATCATCCCTCTAAGGCCCCCAGCTCCAAATTCAAGGCAGGTTCTGCTTTTTTAATAAGACCTGGTTCACATAACCTTCCAAGTCAGGGACCAAGCCCTCCTCACAATGAGGAGGCACCCCCACCTGCATAAGTGTGAGTGTGTATTTGGAAGGTAGTGACGGTTGTTGACATTCTCAGAATACTGGCTCTGGGAAGTGCAGGACCCTTAGCTCCAGGGTGTCATGTCCTGAAGGTAGAAACTGTAGTTTTGGACCCTGCTGCTCCACGCATTTCATGCTCTCCAACATGTCTTGCTCCTTCCAACATGTCGGCATAAATGGAGACCTTTATGCTGCTCTAAGTCAGTTGATGTTTCAGGGAGTCATTGTCCTGGTTCTAGAGGGGAAAGATGTCAAGGTTTCTACTCTAACCTTTTCATGGTTCCCAAACTGAAATGACATATAACCCCATCCTAGATGTGAAGCTACTCAACTGCATCCTACAGTGTTCAAAAGGTCCATATGGATTTCTTCATCTCTGCAGTGGCATCATTTCAGGAAGGAAGCCTGCTTTCTTCAGGGCACATCAAGGATGCTTGCTTTCACATTCCCTTTTTACCTCATTAGATCTTCCTGTGTTTTTTTGCTTTGAGCCTTCTCTGGAGGGGTTGTAAGAGTACTTATGTGCTCCAGCTGAAGAAGCCTGGGCTGCAAGCTGGGAAGACTGTTCTCCTTTTGAAGCCAAAAAGGGTTCCTTTTATTGCTTCTGGACTTCAATCTCCAAGGCCAGACGAAACCAGGTTCCAAGAACCCCTAAATAACCCAAGCTTTCAAACAAATCCTCTTTGGCATGAAGGGATGTCCCACTTCACTGCTTGTATATGAGACCCTATTTTAGGTGGCTACAAGTCATTGGCACTATTCAGTGCTTGTATTGTAATCTAGACTGACATCAGTGTTTGGCTGCGGATAGGTTTAGTTTAAATTTGCCTGGCAAATGTATTTATGATATTTGGGCTTGTGCATGATTTACAATACACTTGCATTGCTATTTAAGCTTGACTTTTTTTTGTCAAATATCTTAAATAATGGTGAAGTATTTACTTTCTATGTGAATTATTTTTTTAATCTTTTATTGTTTTATAGATTCTTCTGTATGGATGCACTGGTGATTGGTTGCTCAGCATAAATGAAAATGGACAATTCACTCTCAAGTTTGATTCTACTGCAGTGATCAAAGACATTCAGTTACTAGAACATTTGCTACTAGATTGGAAAATTTGGTCCAAAGCAGAGGTATATAAGATATATTATTTTTTTAAAAACAAGAAAAATATTCATTCTTTTTTCAGTGTAAGGTAAAGGGTAGGGTATAGTACTCAGTGACACTAAACCGTTAATTCAGCACAATCACACAATAATCCCATTGTTTGCAATTAAGTGCTGTTACTTGCTAATTTTAAACCGTATATCAAATGTAACCAGTTGTTCCTTTGAGCTTGATACACACGATGATAAAATCGCATTTGGAGCAATTGCGCAATAATAAATTCTTTAGTACACAGCTTTCAAGAGCTTATAACGGCAGTTCATCCAAAAGTATCTAAAGGGACAAGCACAAACATTTAGTATATGTGATTAGTATAGTATTTGTACGGGGAAAAAAAATCGATTAACCAAGACTGCTCATGCTTGGAAGTGAAAGAATACATTGCAGTACATTACATTACTTCCAAAGTTGTATTATGTCGTACAAAAATTTTCAGAACTTTAGTATCCTATTCATTTTCCATATGAGACTAGCATGCAAAAAAAAAAAAAAAACTGGCAATCAGTTGGCTTATTTTCCCATTGTTTTTTACCAGGTTTTAGTTAAAAATATATCTCTACTTTGTAAGATTAATCACAGAGAATTCAAATAATGCAATTAAACTACTAATTTGCTTGTGTAGCCTAGACCTAAGGAACCATGCACGCTGATGTTTGGAGGTGCCATGTACAGCTGCCCATAAAAGTGTATACCTATATGTGGCTGTACACATGTAAACACAGAAGGCTTCTGCATCAGTGTTTACCCTTGCATATGCCGTATTTCCCCAAAAGCGACCCTTTGCGCTTGGAGAAATACACCATACGCTCATTTGCAAGTAAACACAGATGAAGAAACCATTTGCATTTACATTAGTACAGCTGTGTAGAGCCTTTCACTTCTAGACATGTGTGCATGAGACATAGTTTGATTTTTCAAGAAATTGCAGACCTTTGATATACAGCTATTCAAAATGATCACTAGGCCCCTTAATAATATTAATTTAATTTTGCATCTTGAAGTGTTTAAAAGTCAACTTGTGTTTTTTTTTTTTTGATAAATTTAGGAAGGTGTCTGGGAAATGTTACTGACCTCATTACAGATACTTATCAGAGATAACCATCCACTTAAGGTGTTCAATATAAAGCAGTTCCTAAAAGCCAGAGTGGTACATCACTTTCTGCTTGCTTGTCAAATTCTTCAGGTAATTTTGTACAATTTTTCTATATTTCTTTTCTATATTTGACTATTTTCCTATATTCTATATAGATGTATTATCTAAAGGTTTGTTTGAAAGCAAAATACACATGGCCTAAAAAAGCATAAAACACAGAGAAAATAAAAAATAATGAAAATGTGTGGTTGTGACTGCATGTATGTACAATCAAAGTGATGAAACAATGCATGATGTGAGAAATAATTTGATGAACCTACTATATCTCAGGGCCACCCATCACAGCCTCTCCATATAATATAGCTCTTTCCTCTCACATCACAGCCTCATGGCCCCCCATATCACAGCTCCTCCCTCTCACATCACAGCCCCCCATATCACAGCTCCTCCTTCTCACATCACAGCCCCCCATATCACAGCTTCTCCTTCTCCACCCCCTCCCGTCTCAGCTACGCCTTCTCACATCACAGCCCCCCCCCCCCCCACATCACAGCCCCCCATATCACAGCTTCTCCTTCTCATGTCACAGTCCCCCATATAACAGCTTCCACTTCTCACATCACAGCTTCCCCCTTCTCACATCACAGCCCCCATCACACCTCCAACTTCTCACAACTCCCCATATCACAGCTTCCCCTTCTCACATCACAGCCCTCCCATATCACAGCTTCCCCTTCTCACATCACAGCCCTCCCATATCACAGCTTCCCTTTCTCACATCACAGCCCCCCCATCACAGCTCCCCCTGCTCACTTCACAGCCTCTGCATATCACAGCTTTCCATTCTCACATCACAGCCCCAATATCCCTGCTCCCCTTCTCACATCACAGCCGCCTATCACACCTCCCCCCTCACATATCACAGCCACCCCCCATATCACAGCTTCCTCTCTCACATCACAGCCCCCTGATTGACAGTATTAGTTAATTTCATAACGGTTATTGAGCCCATAGATGCATAATATGTTCCAAAAGGGATGGGACTCAAAGTAAATGACACATTTATATATGTCATGATTTCCTTGATGTGCTTGCTATTTGTTGTTCATGGTCATCAGTGTTTACAGCTAATTTTTATTTAATTTCTTGTTATATTAGGAACACAAAGATGAACACATTACATCTATTCCTCAAGACGTTTGTGTATCATATATCAGGATCATTGAGGAAGTACTTGGATCTCCTCCTGAACTGGATCTTCTTGAGTTAATATTCAGTTTCCTCTTGGCAGTTCACCCTCCAACAAACACTTATGTTTGCCATAACCCTAACAATTTCTTCTTCTCCTTACACATTGGTAAGAGTTTCCTTCATTTCATAAGTATATTATTTGTTTTGCCTTATCTACTTTACCTAGTATAATAAATATTTAATAGTTAGAATATACTGACTGAGCATATCAATGTAAATGAAGTGCTTAATTGAAAATATTGCAAATGTGGTTTTCTTTAAATTTGTTAAATGTTTTTTCTGGGTCAGGTAAGCTCACATGTAATTTACATTAACTGAAGTACTCTGCCTGTAAGGCTAAAGTAAGGAAAAAATAGCAATACCTTTTAAGAAAGATTATATACAAAACAAACATTGACATGTCACTAGGTCCAAAGCGCGAATCTGGGACGGAGACAGCAGCCTTTGCAGTGCAAACACCCCCCCCCCCCCCCCCCCCACACACACTACAAAGTTAAACTGGCCAAATAAATAAATAAAATATATATATATATATATATATATATATATATATATATACCGTATTCCTCTCTCCCATGGCAGCTGGTGCTCACTTCCACTGTCCAACATTCCTCGGATGTATAGGCCCTTAAATTTGCCAATTTTTCTCCTCTTATTTAAACTTAGGTGTTTATTTACTAAAGCTGGATCACTCAGAATCTCGTGCACTTCTGCATAGAAACCAATAGAAACCAATTGGCTTCCAGGTTTTATTGCCAAAGCTTAATTGAACAAGCTGAGGTTGGAAGCTGATTGGCTGCCATGCACAGCTGCACCAGATTGTGCATTAACCAACTTTAGTAAATCCCTTAGGTTCAGGAGGATGGTCACGACATATAGCATTTCTCACCCACCTTTTTACTGAACACAGCATATTCCTGTACTCCTGCCATCTTCTTCAGAGACAGTCACAGAAACATGGTCATTATTCGGTGATAGGGGCTCCTGTATCAGGACATGCAAAACCCCATTCATTCCATCCTCCATTTTGTGTATACCCCACTGGAGATCTCCTCGCCTCACAATTGTAGATGGAAGGTGCAAAGGAGCTGAGACAAAGGGCATGCGTTCTACAAACAGTCTACAGGAAATTCAAAGCACTGCTTGGGGTGACAGTTGTGCCCTTGTACTGCAGCAATGTCCAATGACACTTCTCCATTCCTCTGACTCTAGCTCCCATTCAGGCACATGCCATGTGACCTCTGTACTGTGGACACATTAATTGACAGGTTGAGCACTTGTCTTTTCCTAATATCTCCTGACTCTCCACAGCTAAAATAAGTCCCTATGGATGCTAAGAGTCTGCCTTAGAGAAAAAAAAAATTACCATATATACTCAGATTTGACTGCGCACTCTGAGAACTGGCTCAACCCTGAGAGGGATTTCACTCCTAAGCTTTAATGGGATTTATCCTATGGAAAAGTATTTTAAGAAGGACTGGGTTATTCCTCTAGTGGATTTGCAATGTCAATTCTCAACGAACACCTTACAGTTTCTGTTGAGGATGTTCCCCCTTCTAAGAATTCTTTTGATAGGCGTTTGAAGCCCTCTTAAAGGCCTTTTTTTCAGTAAGTGTTTTATTGGAGCATAAACAGAAACAAAGCAGCATTTTTTACAATGGCAATATATACGGATCAAAGACAGAAGGTATATGCTATGTACATAAAATAATACAGCTGATATGGCTAACAATTCCAGAGGAAAGGTCTTGGTAAGCAATGTAATGAACAGTACAAGGGTATGTACAGCAATTGATAACTATTTCAGAAACATAATTGTATCCTGTCAGAAAAGGGCACATGCAACTGGATGGTCTGTGATGTTATCAGAGTCATGTAAAAGGAAAAAGAAAAAAAAAGGGGAGGGGGGGTGGAGGAATGGGGTAAGCTGTGGGGGAGGGTGAGGGGGATGGGTTAGTGGACACGTATGCGCTCATCTTCCCATCTCTTGCACTCAACCGGTAAACTAGCTACTACAAGCCTCGAAGGGGATCAAAACATTTCATAGGAGCGTAGCCAGTATAAGCCGTATGGTCAGAGAATTTGTAAATGGTAAAGCAGGTAGCAAAAAGGCAAACCTCTGAATCCTTCTCATAAATCAATGTAGATAATATGCAGCACTATATAAATTGACAATGAATAAAATCCACTAAAATGAATATAAAATGAAGTAGATGAAACACAGAAACACAAAGCGCTATTTAGAAGTGCCAGGAATAATAGAGTGATTAACGTCCGGACATGACGTTAAAAGTGCACAAAGTGAAGTGAATATTTCAAAGTTCAATCAATAAAACTGTAAGGTGCAAATCCGTGATTCCAGTGGTAGTAAACGAATGTATATTGCACTAACCAGAAAGCGCAATGTGATGCGCATTTGAGTAATTCAGACCAACTCCTGGTCATCTGGATCTGGAACAGGGGACTCTGAGGATCATCTGGCACACCTCAGCAGGACAAGTAAAACACTGCATACATCTCCAGGCTCCAGGGGCAAACATCCATCCAGCAGGGGGAACCACTCATGGAGGTACATATAGACTACCAAGGATTCACCTTAAGGGGGGCTCATAATAAATGAGCCAGAGAAGAGAATTCCCAATAGTTAGTATTTTTATTGAAGAATGAATCAAATGACAAGCAATTCAGAAAAAACACATCTGACAGGATCCAAAATGGCCGCCTGCCTTCCACGTGGGCCAAGCGGTGTGACGTCACCAGGTAGGGCACCCCTCTAACGCGTTTCCTGCCCGAGCACGTTATCAAAGAGAGATGCTGGTATGCTGAGTTTGATGTAAAGTGAGTCCAACATTACCAAATAGAGGTAAATTTAGTTAGTCTTTCTTGGGCAATGCTAATCTTCTCTTCAATCTCTTCCAATCTGTCTATTTTCCAAAACCATTCTTCTGTTGTCTGAACGTTTTTGGAACGCCAGTAGCATGGAGTAGAGTGCCATGCTGCATTAATCATAAACATTGCCAGAGATTTATGGTAAGTGTTCCTAGGAATGGATGGGTGGTGTAAGAGATATTGCATTGAGGAGAACGTTTCCATTATGACTGATTAAGTTATTTTGTGTACTTTCTCCAGAAGGGTAGAAGCTTTGAACACAACCACCTAATATGAATCCTTGTCCCCTCTTCTCCGCTCACACCTCCAACAGAGGTTGGGGACAGTGGAACAAAACTTGTGGAGAATGGAGGAGGTCCTGTACCAGCATGTGTAAATCTTGCAGCCACTTTCCTGTGCGATGTTCAGGGAGCCTTTGTGGATAAGTGTTCACACCAAGCCCCAGTCCTCTGCGGATAGGGAGATGCTGAGACCGTGTCGCCACGCCTTACTAGAGGAACTCTAGAGCGCCGAGAAATCTCAAAAACGAGAAGTGAAGGACAGCAATAAGGTGTCTGTTTCCTGCTGCAGAGGGTTTCGATTGAGGGTAGTCATCTAGTCCAGGTTTCGGACATGCCGTGAAACACTAAGAATTGCCTTGTTTGAGCATAGGCCCAGAAGGGCACCGAGAGTGGTGAGAAGAAGATGTTGAGGGCAAACCTAACATTATCACTGTTGTAGTGTTTAGGAGATATCATTAATATTTTATGGAATGCTTTCATGGGTTTCATGTGATACATATGCAGCTGATGTGGCAATAAATGGTGGATGTGTTTAATGCTCTGGGGTGAAAAAAGAATGATCATTCCTACCTGCAATCCAATTCTGCACCTGTATTTTGACTAATGATATGCACAGCTTTATATGATAATGGTTAAAAATATGAAATATTCAGTTTTTATGCAATCCTGAAATTTTGGTTTTCTGTAACCATTAATGCAAACATAATTTTGCTTCCACTTCCAATAAAAAATATTGATTTTGCACTTTGTTTTACAATAGACGACAAGATATTTCAAGAAAAACTAAAGTCATTTATACATCAGAGACATTCCAGTCTTGGAGGACAATCTGCTTTAAGTAATGTGTTTTTAAGCAAAAGCCCTTCAGAGTTTTCAGACACACTGGAGAAAGGTGATATAAAAATCTGCATTCAAAAATTAAAAATCTATGGGTTTTTTTGCTCTGTAATAAATAGATCTTTAAAGTAAACTTTATCATGTAATCACTCAAAACCAAAAAATCTGGTATTAATACATGAGACAAAGTAAAAGGTAAATATAAAGCGGCTGTCATACATGCCTTTCCAGAGAAACTTCAGACCTGAAAAACACTTTTAAACTAATTTTATGTGAACTAGTATGACAAATGTTTTTAGGTAGTGCTGAAGGTAGGTAGACTAGACCCACCTGACTTCTGCACATTCCTATTGGCCAATGAAGCAGCCTATCATAGTGAAAGGCAAATAAGAATGTGAAAGTGGGCAGTGGGCATTCCAGCCAGAAGTGTTTGTTGCTGGAAAATCCTGGCATTTGAGCTCAGTAAGAGATAATGAGAGCTGCTGCAGGTATGTGCAGGCAACTCTGAGAGGCTGCATTTCACACCTGTCAGAAACATTTTTGGGTTTCCTATTGTGACAGAATTATATAATCAATTTCAGTGTTTTGATACTCTAAAAGAGGAACTTTTCAAGCTTGCTGAATAATAGTGTTTGTCGGTTTCATCAGTGTTCCTTGTACTAAGAAATGTTCATTTTAAGTTAAAATATAATTAATTATTACACAAATACCATAACATTTGCTATGATCGCTCTATTCTTTAAACAATTTTTTTTCTTGAATTCATGAATATGAGAACAATTACTACATTTACTGTACACTATTTGCTTCAGTATGTTAATATCATGTAAAGTCATATGGAAAAATAAGTACACTGAATAAAATAACAGATAAAAAAAAAACGGATATCTGATTTACATGAATAAAAGTACAAGGCAAATTACCTTTTTAATTATTTATATGATGAAATTTTCATTTGGATTTAAATCCAGGCTTTGCCAAGGCCATTCTGTAAAGTAATTTCTTCTTTTTGAGCTGTTTCTAGGTTGATTTGTTAGTGTAACTGTTTAACGTTATCTTTCATACAGGCGGTCTCATATTCTCATCAAGCACCCTTTCATATGATGTTGAATTCATAGTTGTCCAGACCCTGAATCAGTGCTCCAAACCATAACGTTTCCACCAAACTTTACAGTTTTTTTTGAGGATTTTTCCCCTGAAATGCTGTCTTCAGTTTGCAAAACATGTCTACTTGTATTGTAGCCAAACTTATTTTGTATTTATCCATTGACAGCACATTGTTCCAGAAGGCCTGGTCTTTGTGTACATGTTAAATGGGAAACTGTAGTGTTGCTCTAATATTCTTTTTGGACAGCATAGTCAATTTCCTGGCACATCTACTGTTACCGGTTACATTGGTTCAGACTCTTTCTGAATGTAAATGCATGCACTTTGACACCAACTATTGCAAGAGTTATCTGAAGACCTCACAATTAAATTTTGGAGTTTTTGAAGACTTCCTTTAGCAATAAACAGTTATCCTTTGGGCAAAATTTGTTAGACCGACCAGTTTTCGACAAATTAGGAGTTGGTGGAAACCTATGGCGCTTTACTTGTAGATTATTTTACTTAAGTGAATATATTAAATAACTTGACCAGTTTTTAAAATCCCTTGGCACACTCATAATTAGCAGCAACCTTTCTTTTTTTCTCAGGATTTTGAAGAACTCTTTTGACCATGTCATGATGCCATGTCAATATCAAAGAGAACACCAAACTCTAGATATCTGAGGTTTAAATAAGACTGGTTCCATCTGTATACTCCCTACTCCCATACTCCCTTGGGTGATTTCATCATGTTTTAAAAAGGACCCAAATAACTATGCGATAATAAATAGCGTCATATGATTGCTATCTTTAAATAAAAGACAGGTTTTTTTTTTTTGCATGATCTGTCATATTTTCAATATAAATGCCAAAATGTCACGATTTTTGCCAGGGTATGCAAACTAGAGCACAACTGTAAATATAAGCAAGTATAAATTGCCCAGCAATGCAAGGGGCACTGCTAAGGAACACTAAAATGTTTACTGTCTGCATTCTTTTTCTGTTATTTTTCATTTTATTTCAATATTGCTACTCATAATGTTATTGTACAAAAACAGGATGGTGTGAAAAGTAGCAGAGTGCTATGTTATTTTTATATATAAAATGCATTACAAATTATTTTTAGCATGAGTTCCCTAAGACCTAAATATAACATTTCAAGGGTTAAAAAAGGGTTGAGAGTTAGAGCAATCATTTTTCAGCATATTTCTTGCCTGTATTGCTACAGAGAGTAAGGAACTATTAAGAAAGTGATACTATTTATCATTCTTTGGGAAGGATAAAAAAATGACAGTGCTACACCAGAACTCTATGTTAATCCTTCATTGCTTGCAGATACCTGCATTGCATACTTACCCAAAGAGTTTCTAAAATATCAGAGGGTTTTTGGTGCCTTGTCTGTCGATCACATTTGTAAAATAAATACAATAACTATGTATAGAGCTAATTTCTTGAATATATATTTCCTCCTAAAGGTACTGATGTCGCAATGTTTTCGTCGCAGCAGCATATACATCTCTCTGTGGTAGAAAGGTCTCGTTCCAAGAGTTTACCTGCTTCCCCTTCATGTTCACCTAAAGTATATCCAAAGGTATTGGGAGGAAGCCTTTCTAAAGTTTTGATTGACCTTCCAGAGTCTACAGAGAATGACCAAAGCAATGAAGACAAACTTTGCAGTAATGAGCATAAATTGGATGTGCTGAAAAAACAGGAAGAACAGTATATCAGCAGCTGTGAGTCAGCACAGACAGTCTGTGATTCCCTGACACTTCCCAATGGTATCAGAATTACTGAGCCTTCAAAGGAGGATTTTGGTCAATCGGACATAAGTTTGGAGGTTACAACCGATGATTCAGGCAAAGTAACACCATGTGAAAGTGCTGGAGAGGTTTTTTTGCAGCGTCCTCACATACTTAAAGGAATTTCCCCATCCAGGAAAGGACAGGGTAACATTGCCAGCTTTGGTCTAGCTTTTCCTTCTAGTGGATCTTTATCCAGTACAAGTTGGACGGATGTTTCTGAGAAGAAAAATTCTGAAGAATGGGGTAGCTTTCCTTTCTCCCCAGTATTTGATCTTACACTTAGAGACTCTGTTCAAGTGGACGGAAGGTACAATTTTCTTTTGCTTCTTGTATTGTGTTGGAGTAGAATTTAAATGTTTCAATTTAAACATCCTCAGTAAAATATATTTTCAAGTATACATTATTATTAGAAGATAAAACAGTGAGACGTGTAAGCCCAACTACAGAAAGGGTTTTTAGAGGACCCTTTTTTTTCACAGGCTGTAAAACCACTTTAAATTGTTTGCATTCAAGCTGTTCAGTCCTTTTACATTTTGTAGCTTATTTATCGTTTATGCAAATTAAATGTTGCTTCATTAAGATGAACTTGTTTAGTTAAATTTTATTTTCATTTGGAATTCGACCCTTGTATGGTCTGCTTAACAAACTGAAACCATCCTCAGCTCACACTGTAGTTGGGATAAAGGTTTTACAAAAAAACATAAATAAAAGGTGAAGCCCTGTATATATCCATCTTCCAGTGTTAGGAAGGATAGGCTGTGTGTCTGCTCTGTCTAGCTGTGGCTGGTGGTATAGACAGCTGTGTACATGTGTCTGATCATTATTGGCCATTATATCACAGAGGACATCTATGGAGGGGCTGTGCTGCACATCACGGGGCTCTGGTCAGGTGGGATCCCCAAGGACAGGCTTCCAGGAGAGGGGTCTCATTGTGTCCAGTGAGGGGGTGATGGGGCTCCATCAATGTTCAGGTTGATTACTGTCTCTGTATTGGGGACAATGCTGGGCCTGGCCTGGGGAGATGCTGGGCCTGGCGAGATGTCTTGGAGCCACTATGACATGTTGGTTAAAAATAAAGGGGGGACATAGCGGTGTGTGCCATGTCATCTGTATCAATGTACGGTGAGAGAACACACAAGGGGGGACTTGCTGAAAAAGGTGACAATGATTTGTGCTCAGAAACCAGAGGTACTACATCTCTATGTTAATATTGTTATAGTTGTTAATATTTATTTTTGTAAGTTTATTCTGCATAAAACATTTAATAGTGTCATTTCATGAGATAATTTACGAGAACATGTTTTAGAGTGGGGCAGGGTAAGGGCTAGGTGGGGCAACTGGTGCTGAGTAACTCTTAAGGCCTGGCTAGTAGCTCAGGACTTGAAATTTGTAGCCCTGCAATAAGCATGCACCCCTTTTGCCTTGATGGCCTGGGAAAGCTTTCATTGCAGACAGAGTTTTCCTTGGGCAAATTGTAGTAATAAAGACTGAGTATTTTCAATCCCCTAGTTTAAAAATCTCTTCAAAGCAAACTCAATTACCAGAAACAGTGCCTGCTCTTTTGACAAAGTTGAAAGACCTCACCTATCCATATCAAATTAATGACAGAAACATGTATTTACCAACTCAATAAGTTCAAAGATCAGAGCTACATGGTTACAAGAATAACATAGATAATGAAGAATATGGTGGCTCCTGCACACCAAGCTTATTATTTCCTGCTAGAAAGTATGCATTTCTGTGCACCTGCTAAACAAAATTTTGTGGAGAAACAATTAATAGCAAGTTTGGTTCTATGTTGGCTAGTTCCCTGTTTTCTGGTTCAGGAACTTGTTTTTTTCCAATTTTAGATGTTATCCTTAGTTCACTGTGTAGAGAAAAAGGAGTAGGCTGCTTACCATTCATCTCTTGCAGATACTAACCTAAATTTAGAGATGTTATTTTCACATATCATAAATGAGCTAGATACACTGGCTTTAGCTATCTTGCCTATTACAATGTGGATTGTGTAGGCATGCAAATTACTTACACTGATGCAAAAGCCTTTACATGATTTAAGACTTCGTACTAACGGTACCTGCCTCACAATAATTATTCACAAACAGACCATCTATAGAAAGTGGCTGCTTCTTTCTTTTTTTTTGTACCTCTTTTTCTCCACATGCAAGCAAAGGGCCATATGGTAAAGTAGAGGGCATTTCATCTTCCCTTAGCTTATAATTCATATGTACTGTAACAGGTTTGATGCAGAAAATTTGAACATGTCGAGTGAAATGGTAAAATGTAATTTCGAAATTTGTCCTTACTTTTTTTTTTTTTACATGCAGACGTCATCTAGTGTTGCATCTAGTTCAGTCTTTCTCAACCTTTTCAACAGAGAGGAACCCTTGAAATAACTTTCCAGTCTCAGGGAACCCCTGCTAAAATTACTATATCTACAGCTCATGATATATTAGTGTGATGGTCAGTGGGAAGAATGCTTCTTATGCTTGTGGTCATTGGGAACAATTATCCCCTTATAGATAGCTAGGAAGATTATTGATGTCAGTGGAAACTTATCTGAGACATAGAAATTGCTCAAGGAACTCCTAGCAACCTCTGGAGGAACCCTAGGGTTCCATGGAATCCTGGTTGAGAAACCCTGATCTAGTGAGTCACTGAATTGCAACAATCCCACTGCCTGTAAGGTCGGAAATACGTGTATGTGAACTTCAGTCATGTATACTTATTCCAATTCTGTGAATGATTAGGTGCTCGAGTCTGCATCTTTAAAATCAGATTAGTATTGGCAGTATTCATGTTTCTGTTTTTTTATAAATTCCCTTTAGAGTTAAGTTAGTAAAAAAAAATATATATATATTAGTTTCAGTCCCTATTCCTTAGAATCAACACCATCCATCCTACGGCCTAGGGGAAGTTTTTCACTTTGAGGATACTCATCTAGTGCTTTAAAGGGGACCTTGCACTAAAAATGCAAGTACTGCTCATTTCTGGAGAAAACCCTCTCCCATGCCAAAACCTAGCACTAAAATATAGAAGATACTTGGCTTATATCCTGCTCCTGCCTGCAGTTCCTAGACACATATGTATGTCCCCATCTTTCCTGAGACATTCTGTGGAATGTTGGGCAGCCAAAATCTAGGGAGAAGATGCTCTCATGCCTGGAGTGTTTAATCTTGAGATTTGGGCAACTCAGCATTCTGCCAGAAAGATAGCGAAGTCACCCCTGCAGTATGAGAAGGTGAGTATATTCTCACTTTATTTTTACCTGCAGTTTTCTTTTTTTTTTCTTCTAATTTTGGTTCAGTGTATTGGCATGAACTGGTTTCTCAGTAAATAAGCAGATGTTACTTGTAGTGCAGGGTGTGCATTCTAGTCACCTTATCTTTCAACTGGGGGGTTTAGATGCCTTTGGAAGACATTCTTACAACAGGTGATGATGTTTGCTTAGGTTATTTTGATAGTTTTACATTCATAATGGGTTAACCTTGCCTAACACTACAGGGTTGATTTACTAAAACTAAAGAGTGCAAAATCTGGTGCAGCTCTGCATTGAAAGCAGTCAGCTTCCAGGTTTTATTGTCAAAGCTTATTGAAAGCTGCAGTTAGAAGCTGAGTCTCTATCATGTACAGCTGCCCCAGATTTTGTGTTCTACAGTTTTAGTAAATCAACCCCTAGCAGTTTTTAACTAGTGTATGCCTCTGCATTTGAGTCTACTTAGGCTATAGCTTTACCATAGAAAATGTTGACTTTTGTTTTCTATAACTTAGGCATACACATTCTTTCTGCAGTGTATTGACATAAACATCTCACGGCCTTAGGGGTTCATCCTTCATCCTTAAATGGCAATGCTAATATTTTCACATAATCTTCTACCTCTGACCTTGCAACCTGCCTGGGATCTGGAGGCTTTACTTGATTTTGCTGAGGAAGACGGCCCCAGGTTTAGGGGAAACTCAGCAAATGCTGGCTACAACCTATCTGAATAACCACATTTATACTAATGACTCCCCAGCCTTGGCCGGAATGCAGGATACATATACTTCATATAATGTATTCTTATATTAAAAATATTTACTGTGAATGTAAATTATTCTGTTTTTTGTTTTATAGATCAATGGATGATTGCATTCATCTTGTGTGTTGCGGGCTTTATGATCTTTTGTGTGGTGTTGTTCTCACCATGCCTGATGTAATGGTGGTGGATGTTTTCAATGAAATTATTCAGCCAGATGTACTTATTGTATTAGTTAATCACCAATCTCCTCTCATTCAACAAGGAGTCTTAAAAGTAAGTGTTAACGGCTTTAATACTCATATGCTGTTTACTGTAATCAATAGTTACAGTATGCCTATACCTATGGATGGGGATAGAATAGTTTATGCAGATGCTTTAGTGAACTTGTAATGTAGTGAGCTTGAGTAAAATACATTTCAGGCAAAAGGGAAACCATTCATCCAGAAAATGAGTTTTGGTACCTTAGCTTGAGATTTTTTTCTTTTGTGGTATTGTCAGTAGAACATGCATCATGATGCTGCTGTTATCCATTGCAGCAAAGAAACATGTATGCTATAAATAAAACCACTGCATCATAGTACCTTTGTACCTTCCACTGTGGATTGGCTGGTGCCAATAACAGTGAACATTAAGGATAAGTTACGTTTGGGAACATGTTACATGTTCCACTCGTTTTTTAGGGTGTAACATGTTCCCGATCCCATAGCTGCCCGATCTCCCCACTCCCTGTGACAGCAGTGTGGGGAGAAGTTCCCCCTCACTAGCTGTCACTTTTTAAAAACAGCACGGCCTTGCGGGGCTCCGCCCACATGGCCTCGTCATTCATTCACACAGTGTTCTGTGAATGAATGGACTACAAGTCCCAACAGCCTTAGCCGCTGTCAGCTTGTAGTTTTCAATGATCTACCACAGTGCTGTAGTAGTTCATTGAGTCTTCCTGTCAGAAGTATCGGCTTGCCCATATGGTATGTATGAGGAAGCAGATACACTGACAAGTCTGCAGGAGACCTGCATGGCACCATCGATCTTGTGATCACTGGTGCTGTTTTACAGGCTCCTGCAACAAAAAAAAAATGCACATTTCCATACCTGCAAAAAATGCGCATTTATTATTTTTTGTAGAAAGGTGAACTTATCCTTTTAAATTTTGCCATTTTGGTCTTTTTTTTTTATCATGAACTACTTCAGCTCTCGCATCTGTATACTTATGGACAAGAGCAAGTTTTACATTTCAGCTACAGTGTGTACTTATTAATTGGGTAATAATTTTGGCATTACTTATGAGGTAATGCTTTAATTTTTTTTTTCCTGGGACATAGAAGGCTTTATATTCGTGTTAATCTCTTGCAAAAGTACTTTTATTTCTGGTGCAATTTATAGATAAAATATGTAGCAATCCTAATTATTGTTACTGTAGATTAAGTAAAAAAAAAAATTCTTTAATTTCCCATCCTTATAATGAGGGTAAAATTATGATTCTGGTACAAAGCATCTCAAAGTTATTTACAATTTATATAAATTTGCCCATCTTGTAAATGGCTAACAAATGAAATAAGTGAGCAAAGCAAACAAAAAGAAATATAAATAGAGAAATAGCTAGGGGTAAGTAGATAAAGTGATGTTAAAGGTTGCGCAGTGGTTTTACACAGATCAGCCTCTATGCATCTCTTCTCGTGTCTCCTGTTGGCGCTCCAGGATTTTCCCTTCTGCCGAGTGCCCCATAGCAAGCAGCTTGCTATGGGGGCACCCGAGCAGCCTCACTCCTGAGCCGCTGCACTATGTGTCCATTCACACAAGTTTGGTGGCTTGGCCTCACCCCTGCTCTCTCCTCATTGGCTCACTGGCTGTGATTGACAGTAGTGGGAGCCAAATGGCTCAATGAGAAGGGAGAGACCCAGGGTGTGTGCACATCGCCTTTACAACTACCTTTAATTGTGGCTGATTAGAATTTGCTAAGTAATATTTTAGTGGAAAAAAAAAGTCTAACTGTTGCTAAAAATGTTCCCTCCCTCCTCCTTCTAGCTATCCTGCGTACATTTTTAAGAATCGTTGGACTTAAGCTTTACTTCTACTTTAAGGAACACCTTATTTATTTATTTTAGTGGTAGGGATGCTTTGTCTGATGCCATGTAAAACAAAGGTCATCCATTTGATGCAAAGATGATTGCAACAGAGCAAATACAATGCAACAATTTTACTTTGTTTTTGTGAAGGGTGCTTCTAAACAGTGTTTACACACTCAGGAGCTCAGTTTTTCACAGCGGTGGCTGCTGCCACTGTAATTCACAGCAAGTTCTGGCAGGAGGCTTTGCAGCAGGGATAGAGGAACCTTATTATTATTATTATTATTATACAGTATTTATAAAGCGCCAACAGTTCGCTCAGCACTGTACATTACAAACATGCGACAGTACAATAACAATAGAATGCGATACACCAGGGGTTTGAGGGCCCTGCTCTTTCGAGCTTACAATCTAGGACATGTTACAAATGCCCTGTGTACATATATGCTGTGTACTTTGTTCAAATTTTTGGGCATACATATCACGCCTAAGGTCCGCAAATTGTTTAATATTAGTAGATTTATGTAGTCACATAAACCACTATTGCAATATATTTATGAATCAGGCTTGTGCTTGTCCATCTCAGTCTAGTACACCCAGAAGGTTAATTGTATATTTAGGTCTATATATTTAAACAAAAAAAAAAAAAAGTGTATTTATTGCAAATTTTGTTTATTTTTTTTAAACTAAGTACATTTCCTGTAAATACAAAAATTCCCTGTTGATCCTGCCAGTCCTCATAAATTCCTGTGAAGTGAACTGTAACCTCAAACAATCTGATCAGCCTTCTCCACTATCCTTTGTAAACTACAGAACACTGCTTCTCTACATAATGGGTAATGGGTTACCTGTTGGGTAAAAGTGAGCCTGTGATGACAAGATCCCTTTTAAAAGTTTTTTGCTTTCTCCACCGTTATAAATTGTAGACCACTGAATGATTTACAGCTATCTAATTATATCTTGACATTTCTGATATAAATAAATTCCCGCATGATATGATTTTATTGGATAGAAGCAACTGCTGTGCAATGAGCATTTGTTTATTTGTTCATTTTAAAGTGATGAAAGGGTTACAGACCTTAGTTTACTGCCTGTGATTCACACTCATTTTCTAAACCTAATATTTAAAGCATATGTTGACTGAAAGAAAACATCTCTGCAATACATGTACTGTATATTTCAGAAAAACAATTGATGTGCTATGGGCAGCACAGTGGCTAAATGGTTAGCACTTCTGCCTGGCAGTACTAGGGTCGTCGGTTCGAATCCCAAACATGGCACCATCTGCCTGGAGTTTGCATGTTCTCCCTGTGCCAGCGTGGGTTTCCTCCGGGTACTCCTGTTTCCTCCAACACTCCAAAGACATGCTAGTAGGTTAAATGGCTCCTGTCTAAATTGGCCCTAGTATGTGTATGTGTGCAGTTTAGGGACCTTAGATTGTACGCCCCTTGAGGGTTAGGGACTGATGTGAATGTACAATATGTAAATGTTCCTCTTTGACATGAAGGCACTGTTTTTGTTCTGCTCTGAATTCCTGAACATGTGGTGTCAGCCCTGCCAACTTATTTATTATTGGTCTTTATATAGCCCCTTGAATTTACGCAGTGCTTTATATACATATTGTACATTTACATCAGTCCCTGTCCTCAAGCAGCTTACAATGTAAGGTCCCTAATTCACATTCATACATACATATACTAGGGCCAATTTAGAGAAGGGCCACCTAACCTACCAATGTCTTTGGAATGTGGGAGGAAACTGGAGTAGCCGGAGGAAACCCACACAGGCATAGGGAGAACATGCAAACTCCAGGCAGGTGGTGCCGTGGTTGGGATTCAAACTTACAACCCTAGTACTGCTAGGAGGAAGTGGTAACCACTTATCCACTGTGCTTCCCTACGTCATTTCTAATGGATTACATAGAACCTCCTTCCTCCTCCAAATCTCCCCGACCACTCCTTATGCACAGGCAGAGCACACAGTTGGTTTGTAAGATTTGTGGAAAAATCAACAGGTATTTTTTACATAGCTATAACATTTTTCAATTGTATTCTTATAAAATCCAAAAGGAAGCAGATAGGAGAAGTTCATTGTTTGGGTTTACATACACTTTAAATATTTTAGGTAATTTACCTGAATTTTTCTAGATTACATAAAGTACTCCAATATAATGTTAGTAGGCATTTTGTTTTCATATGCCATTTCTTTTAATGCATTTAAACGATACATATTTTAAATGGTTGCTACACATATGAGACTAGCAAAAATCAACTATTGATAAGAGAAAGCTAAAAGTGGTTGTAGACCCTTACATATACATTGAAGGAAATAAATATTTGATCCCCTGCTGATTTTGAATGTTTTCCTACTCACAAAGAAATGATCAGTCTAAAAATCGAATGATAGGTGTATTGTAACACTGAGAGACAGAATAGCATCAACAAATTCAGCAGAAATGGATGTCTAACAAATGATGCACTGATTTGCATGTTCATGAGGGAAATAAGTATTGGATCCCCTATCATTCAGCAGGATTTCTGGCTACCAGGTGTCTTTCATACAGATAACAAGCTGCGATTAGAAGCAGTCTCTTAAAAGGAGTGCTGCTAATCTCATTTTGTTACCTGTTTAAAAGACACCTGTCCACAGGAGCAATCAATCAGATTCCAAACTATCCACCATGGCAAAGACCAAAGAGCTGTCCAAGGATGTCAGGGACAAGATTGTAGACCTACATAAGGCTGGACTGGGCTACCAAACGATCGCCAAGTAGCTTGATGAGAAGGTGACAACAGTGCAATCATTCGCAAATGGAAGAAACACAAAACAACTGTCAGTCTCCCTAGGTCTGGTGCACCATGCAAGATCTCACCTCGTGGAGTGTCAGTGATCATGAGAACAGTAAGGAATCATCCCAGAACTACACGTAAGGATCTTGTCAATGACCTCCAGGCAGCTGGGATCACAGTCACCAAGAAAACAATTAGTAACACACTACACCAACAAGGATTGAAATCCTGCAGTGCCCGCAATGTCCCTCTGCTCAAGAAAGCACATGTCCAGGCCCATCTGAAGTTTGCCACTGAACATCTGAATGATGCAGAGGAGGACTGGTTGAAAGTGTTGTGGTCAGTTTAGATCAAAATCGAGCTCTTTGGCATCAACTCAACTCTCCATGTTTGGAGGAGGAGGAATGCTGCCTGTGACCCCAAGAACACCATCCCAACTGTCAAACGTGGTGGAAACATTCTGCTTTGGGGGTGTTTTTCTGCTAAGGGGACAGGGCAACTGCACTGCATCAAAGGGACAATGGAGAGGGCAATGTACCATTAAATCTTGGATGAGAACCTTCTTCCCTCAGCCAGGGCATTGAAAATGGGTCATGGATCGGTGTTCCAGCATGACAATGACCCAAAACACACGGCCAAGGCAACAAAGGAGTGGCTCAAGAAGAAGCACATTAAGGTCCTGGAGTGGCCTAGCCAGTTTCCAGACCTTAATCCAATTGAAAATCTGTGGAGGGAGCTGAAAGTTCCAGTTGCCAAACGTCAGCCACCAAAGCTTGATGACTTGGAGAGGATCTGCCAAGAGGAGTGGGCCAAAATCCCGCTTGAGATGTGTGCAAACCTGGTGGCCAACTACAGAAAACGTCTGACCTCTGTGATTTGCCACCAAGTACTAAGTCATGTTTTGTGAAGGGGATCAAATACTTATTTCCCTCATGAACATACAAATCAGTGCATATTTTGTTAGACATGCATTTCTGCTGATTTTTTTGTTGCTATTCTGTCTCTCAGTGTTACAATACACCAAACATTTGATTTTTAGACCGATTATTTCTTTGTGAATGGGCAAACATTCAAAATCAGCAGGGGATCAAATACTTATTTTCTTCACTGTACCTAGTGAAATGAGATGCCTATGGTGATACCCAGAGATGAAATATATAGGTACCTGAAATAAATAAATGAAACACATCCTCCTACAGATCTTACAGAAATTGTACCTGTTTCTCTGTAGTCTTCTCTTCTCTACAGCCATTCAAAGTGCTGTATTTATACAGCTTATCTGAACTTTCAAAAAGCAGGGGGCAGAGAGCTGAAGTTAAATTCTGCATATCTCAGTGAGGATAACTGAGGGCTGATTGAAGGGAAGGGACACAGCACACAGGAACAGAGCCGAGGCTGTCAATCACAGACTATGTGCTGGAGCTCCCCCCATCACTGTTTTACCTCTTGGTGTTAGGCAAATTTGTCAGAAGTGACTCATACAAAAAGCAGCAGACAGAATATGCTTTGTTCATATTTCATGTCTGAGGTTTACAACCACTTTAAAGAATTGCTGCAGGGTAGATGACTTGCTGAAAATCAAATGTATATTTTATTTGAGCTTTTTTTTACCTTTTATCTAGCTGTTGAATTCATATTTTCATCGAGCATCCAAGGAATATAAAGAGGCCTTTTTAAAGAAAAGTGGTTTTACGTTGCTGGCCAACCAACTCTATCTTCACCAGGGGAGTCAAAGGGTAATAGAGTGCCTGCTGGAGATGTTCTTCGGACGACACATTGGGCTTGATGAGGAGTATGTTTTTCAGTTTGTTTATATTTGTTATGTATATATGTAGACATTTATTTTAGTGCCACTCTAGCTGTTCTAGTAACATACCAGTTTTGTTTCTCACAGTATTAGATGGGTGCAGGCTGTCAAGTGCTTAACCCAGACAGCATTGGAGCATATAGAGACGAGACCCCTCATGCCGCCAGCTCATTTGGTGAAGAGAGATGTAAAAAGCCTGTAACTCTTCCTAAGCCACCCCATTATGCCATCCCCTCTGTGGGCTTAATCCTAGATTAACAATTAAGCCCCGGTGGGCAGGATGAAACACATCAGAGGTGTGTCTAGGAGGAGTTATAGGCTGAGGTCATTTACAGATGTGGAATAGACTCCCTCAAGAGTCGGTTCTGACCAGTGCAGTGGATTGCTTTAAAAAAGGCCTTGATTCTCTCCTAGATACACAGACTATAACTGGATACTAACATTTATAGGAAAAGTTGATCCAGGGAATATCCGATTGCCTCTAAGGGGATCAGGAAGGAATTGTTTTCCCTGCAGGAGAAAATTGAATCATGCTTTGCTGGGTTTTTTTGCCTTACTCTGGATCAACTGTGGGTATAGGATTGTAACTTTTTTTTTTTTTTTTTAATGGTTGAACTGGATGGACTTTTGTCTTTTTTCAGCCAGACTAACTATGTAACATCTCTCTTCACCAAATGAGCTGGCAGCATGCAGCATTTTCTTGCCTCTAGATTCTGGACTTGACGTTGTAGACCTGTAGTTTGGATGCATGAACATGTAACTGATATCCTAGAGAGAGTATTATTGAAACGCTACAGCTTGCCCTCTCCCCCCACAGATTAACACAATTGCTTTTTAAAACAAAGCTATTATAATAATCTTTCATTATAGTGCATTTTAGGGTATAGTGGCATGCATTGCTGTATTACTGTTTAGAGCAGCATCTATCCACCATTTTTCTGCTTCAGATTTGCATGTTATCCCCATGATAATGTGGGTTTTTTCTGTATGGCCTATAGACAGGAAGGGGAATGTGCATTTGCTTTTATAGTCCTCTGTCAAATTATATTCTTTAAAAACTGCAGAGTTACACTTTAACCAGACAAATGAGAAGAATCCAACATGCCTAGATATTTTGCATCCTTCTCTTTCTGGCCGCCCACTGTTGCTGTTTCCCTGGTCACTGCATCACCTATAGTATGCCTCAGCATATGTAAGCAAACAGCCCTAAAACTGAACTCTGGGGAAAGCAAATATTGTCTAAATACAAGAAACATGTGTATTCTTATTTGGTTTGTTTTGTATATTTCCTTGATCTGTCTAGTAATCCAAAGTTTAACTTTGCCTCTATGCAGAAGCTTCCTGTAGTAAAAACTGGTCCCTATCTTTGTGCAGGGTGAATGCTATTGTTTCCGCCCCCTCCTGTAGTTTACTGTGGTTAGTATGTAGTGGGAGGACCTGCTGGGTCTTTCCCACAGCTCTAGTGTCTGCGCAAACTATGTACGACACAGCATTGATGTTACTTCTACTTTTATGAAGTAAGGATTGGGATGCAGATGCATTTGGTGCTCACAAGATGGATTTTTGTTTTTGGGTGGCTATTGAGAAAGGCGGAAACAGTGACAACATCAACTTCAACTGCTCAGAAGACAGGCCAGGCAATCTACTTCTGTATTATGGCAAGCAAACTTGAGGATGAGAAAATTAAGAGAACTGTCATATAGTGCTGAAAGATGTTCCCATAGGTCGTAAGGCATTTATCATGCTACTAGGGAAGAGCAGATGGTCACCAAGAGTACGTCTTGTATTTATGAAGCTAATGGATCAAAGCCTGTAGAACAGAAAAAGGAGATCAAAAGTTGTAAAGATATTATCACCATAGGAACCAAGGAAAATTAGAAATTTTTAAAGATCAAATGGATAAAGCCAACATCAATTTATTATGAGTCCGTGAACTCAAATGGACAGGACAAGGACACTTTCAATCAAGTGAACATTGGATATGCTACTCTGGTCACAAAACCTACAGGAAAAAAGAGTGTGGCATTTGTCCTCAACAATAAGCTCTCAAATACGGTACTAAAATACAATACTATTAGTGATAGGGTCATCTCAGTCCGCCTACAGGGAAGGCCGGTCAACTTTGCCCTAATCAAAGTGTATACTCTAACAACCGATGCAGAAGAGGAAGATGGAGAGTTGTTTTATGAACAACTTCAAAGTGCTATAGATCAAGCGGCAAATCAAGATCTACTAATCATCAGGGGGGTCTTCAGTGCAAAAGTAGGATGTAAATCCAAAGATGCAGTGGTTGGAAAGTATGGCTTACAAGAAAGAAATGAAGCCGGTGATAACTTTGTATGGTTTTGCAAAAGTAACCAACTGTTTATCATGAATACACAATTCTGGCATCACAAGCGTCGGCTATACTCATGGACCTCTCCAAATGGCATGCATCGTAGTCAAATTGACTAGGACAGAGAACATAGGTGGAAATCTGTGGTTTTGACAGCAAAAGACTAAACGTGGAGCTGATTGTGGCAGACACCACAAACTTTTGACATGCAAGATTCAGGTAAAGCTTCTTAAGCAAAAGATCATTAGAGGCCTTCCAAGATATGATATTGCATGTATTCCACAAGATTACAGGATTAAACTAAACAGATTTGCAGTTCTGGATACAGGAGATATAGAGCTCGAAGAGTTATGTAACTATATCAAAAGCATAAATAGTGAAGAAGCTGAAAGAACATTACGGATGAAGAAAAAAGCCAAAAAATCCCCTTGGAATCAGAAGAAACTAGAAAAGTAGCAGAGCAACGAAGGCAAGCCAAAATTATGGCGATAGAGTAAAACTATCTCAAATTAATCAAATATTTCAATGCCAAGTTCGGAAAGATAATGAAAGATATCACAAGGATATTTGTCAGAAAAGTGAGGCTAAGCACATAAAGGAAAAACCAGAATAGCTTTTCAGGACATTAAGAGATTGAGGCAGAAATTCCAACCTAGATTGGGGATGCTTAAAGTGGGAGTAAACTGCCATTGGACACTTGTACCTACACGTAAGCCTATAATAAAGCTTTAACATACACCTTATATAACATGCACCTTTTTAGGAGATATTCAGTGTCCCTGCAGCTGGTGACATCTCCGGCGCATGCACTCTGAGCTCTGTGCCAAGCTGAGACCCCCGCAAACCCAGAAAGAAGACTGGGTGAAGATGGAAGCCCGGTCACCACTGACAGTGTGCCGCTGGAGGGCTTTGTTCTAAGGTAAGTATTTCATAATGTGCTAGTATGTAATACATACTAGCACATTATGACATTACTTTGCAGGGGAGATTTTTTTTTTTTTTTCATAGGGCAAGTTTACTACCACTTTAAAGACTGTAACAGACTAATATTGAACAACCCAGAGAACATTAAAAGGAGAAGGAAAGAGAATACTGAACATTTACAGTGGGGATCGAAAGTTTTTGGGCACCCCAGCTAAAAATTTGTATTAATGTGCATAAAGAAGCCAAGGAAAGATGGAAAAATCTCCAAAAGGCACCAAATTACAGATTAGCCATTCTTATATTATGTCAACAAAAGTTAGATTTTATTTCCATCATTTACACTTTCAAAATAACAGAAAACAAAAAAATGGCGTCTGCAAAAGTTTGGGCACCCTGCAGAGTTAATATCTTGTACTGCCCCCTTTGGCAAGTATCACAGCTTGTAAACGCTTTTTGTAGCCAGCCAAGAGTCTTTCAATTCTTGTTTGAGGTATCTTTGCCCATTCTTCCTTACAAAAGTCTTCCAGTTCTTTGAGATTTCTGGGCTGTCTGTCACGCACTGCTCTTTTAAGGTCTATCCATAGATTTTCAATTATGTTGAAGTCAGGAGATTGTGAAGGCCATGGCAAAACCTTCAGTTTACGCCTCTTGATGTAATCCCCCGTGGATTTCGAGGTGTGTTTAGGATCATTATCCAAAAAAGCAGTGTAGATAACATTGAAGAAAGTGGACCAGACAGTGACACCGAAGATGAACCAGGTATACTAAAGGCAGAAGTCATAGCCGCAATGAATAAGTCACCAGGTATCGATGGGATTTTAATTGAGTTAATCAGAGGCTCCGAATCCGAAGGTGCTGTCTTGGCCCTTACTCAGCTATGTCAACGGATCTGAAAGGAAAAAACATGGTCAACTGACTGGAATAGATCACTGTTCATTCCTATATTGAAGAAAGAAGATGCCACAAGATTGTAACAATTACAGAATGATTGCATTAACTCCACATGCTAGTAAAGTATTCGTGAAAATAACACAAAAGGAGAATAGAATCATACATTGAGTGAGAACTACCTGAAGCTCAGGCTAGGTTCAGAGAATAATAGAATAGGTAGACGCTACAATTAAACATACCAAATATAGTATATTGTGCAGTAAATAGGGGATTAATATTGCTAAAAATCCCTATATTTAGTGCCGCAAATTCGGTGCATACATCCCTGTGTTTGGAACCAAATTTGATATTCTATGCAAAAACCAAACAGTATTAACAGTTGAATACATAAAAGTGCAAAATTGTGAAAAAATGCTCATGAATATAGTGACAGTCCTTGCGGCTTTTATATCTGTATCCCAAACCAGAGCAGAAATAAGATTGTGACTGAAAACTCACCGCGTGCCCACAGGAATATAGTGTAAATTGCTCATTCACCAAATCTTTTGAACCCAGTTGGTGGTCAGATACGCTTTTGGTCTTATAGAGACCACCACTCTCACAGTGATATCTCCATAATCTCCCAAAGTAAATTCTTGGTAATGGCCAAGTATAAAGGAATCTCAGCACCAAGCCGAGCTCAATATTTCTATCAGTCGCTAGGACTCAGACTTGAGTTGATGCCACTTAATAATAGCTGATAATATTGAGAGAAATATATTTAAATGAGAAGTTTTTGTGCCTGGAGTTCAGATTTAACACAGTCAGTTTAGATACCCTGAGGCTGTGCTTGATA